ACTATTTCTAGGATTGCATATATTCAGGATGGACGATTTATGCAGTCTTTGAAATAAAGCAAAAATTTATATAACGTATATTAACGTTATCGAGCATAACGTTAACGGGGTTAACGTAATGCTCGATTTTAAGGGTTGATTGTGTGAGTTAAGAAAAATAATTATGTTTTTTAATGTCATGGAATTTACCGTTAGCTTTTTGTGTTTATAGAAATTTGAAAAGGCTTGCGGTTTCGGGAATATAAGGTGTCAAAAATTCAAAGTTTTCAAATTTCAAGAGGCGATAACTTGTGAGGGGGTGGAGATGGAAAAAAATTTTCTTCCAACGAAATGAACTATTTGTTTATGTCTAAAAGCCTCTAAAGCTTCTTCAGGCTTCTACAGGCTCGGGTCTAGAAGAAAAACGAAATCAAAAATTTGGAAGAAAAAGACTTTAGAAAACGGTGAATTTAAACGGACATTTTGTTTTTCTAAAATTTAAATATAGTATATCGCGCTAGGGGAAGCAAACCGCTGCCTTTCTGCGTTTGCAAAATTTCAAAAATGCTTATGGTTTCATTGCAACAAATAGTTAAAAAATGCCATTTTTAGGGTTTTAGAGGGGTATAACTTCTAGAGGGAGGGAGATAGGTAAAAATTTTGTTCTACGGAAATTAGTCTCTAGTAGTTTTGACAGTTTAGTTGAATGACAATGTGAGTACTTTCTGGATGGCATGAGATTAGAGGAAATATCAGCCTATTTTTATTACGATACATAGAAAGGCGCAGCTTCGCTAACAAAACTAGAGTTTTTATTGTTCATTCTGGTAATATCATTCCAAAGATTAAACTTAAAATTTAACTTTAAAATTTTTAAGCCTACATAGTACATACATACACTATAACATGAAATGTAAGTAGGTACTTATTGTAGTTACAATTTTTTAGCACTATGGCACTGAACCATTTCAAAAGAAAGTTAAACAATTCCGGAACAAAAAATATGTTTTCTGCACAATTAATGTGTATAAAGTGGGAAAAAAACAAAACGTATCGAAAAATTATAATTTTTCCCCCATTAATAAAAACAAAAATAAATAATATAATTTCGTAGCAATAAAATAAAATTTTAATAAATGACCTCGAAAGTATGTAAATATGTATATCAATGCCAGTTATTGCTGCAAGTTACAATGTATAAAAAAATTATATAGAAACAAGAAAATGCGAAAAACAGAGTTTTATTCCATAATAAAAGTGAAATTTGTTTGAACATTTTGAAGTTTTTTTAAAGTACTACTGAAGACAATAAGCCTTTGCCTTACTTAAGATCTTTTTTTTATTTTCTGATATTTCTTTATTGTAAGCTATTTGGTAATTAAGAAATTTGAAAATGTTTTTTAAGAATGTGCGCACAAAATATTTTTTGGTCAATTTAAGTGCTTTTGCTATGAGGTTTATGCCTTTATAATATATGCAGAAATTGTATTTGATCATGAGATTTAAGGCTTTATGACATTTGCTTATAAAAGAGCACTCTTGTGCGTACTCAATATTACGAGTTACTATTACAAAACTTGTTATTACCAAAAATATCAAAATATATATACAAGGATCTATCAAAAGTATCTGATGAAATTTCGAATTTGTGATATTAAATGATTAAAAATTTCATAGCCATAAATAGCCTAAAAAAGGGAAATCGAATAATATACTGTGATGTATTATAACTTCAAAGGAAATATACAATAGCTTTTATTATCCAAGTCGGTGAACCTTCCAAGATGAATTAAATGTCAATTGGAGAAGGGGTATTATTGCCATATGGTATTATTACAATATAACTGAATGAGTTATACAGTGTATCATTATTTCCCGTCATTCAGTTGTTGGAGAGGAACATTTTTTTTTATTTTTATAAATTTTATTATATAATTTAAGAAAACAATTTTTCCCCAAAAAAACGTGATTATTAAGAAACTCTTCTTTTTTGTTAAATTTTTTTAATTTTCATTATTTCATAGCAAAACTTACACTTTTTTCTCAAAATTTCTTTCCTGATGGGACTATAAAGATTTTATTTTCACAAACTATTAAATTTACCACTTATACAATAAAAATTACAACATACAATCTTTTTCTCATTTCTAATAACTACCATTAAAATACATATATGTAATCATATTCTATCAGACTAAAAAATTTACTTCAAAATAATAAGAGAGCTGCCTTAATATTACAAATAAAAATTGTTGCAAAGTTAAGGCACAACTGAAATTTTTTTATTACACGTGTTCGTAACTTAAAAAAGAAAACTTATATCGAATAAATTAATTTTTAACCTTTCACTGACGAAAAAGGTTAAAGAACCTTAAAAATTTACATATTTCTTTTTACATTTTTCTTTTACAAATTTTTTATAAGTGATAAAAAATTTATCAACATTATACAAATATTTATATTCTTTTTTCATTCAGGACATTTTTTATTAAAATTTAATTGTAGGATAAAGTTTTAACCGGTTTTCTTTGTGCTAAATCACTAATTTATTTGTTTTTCAATTTTATTTTTGAATATAACAGTAAAAGACCAAAAAATGAAATAAGTATCAAATTAAGTAAAAAACAGCAAATAACTTTAGAATTACAAAACCAACAACATAGATAATATGTTTCACTTCATTTAAATCATTTTTATTTTCGATACATATTTTATTTAATTTTTCTCTTATTATTTGAATTGACTGGTTGACTCAGAAGAGCATATTCCTATCTTTACCTAAATTAAAATTCTAAATTTAATTATTCCTAAAAATTTCTTGCATTGCAATTTGTCTATATATGTATATAGTTTTCGTAGTATTAAAATATTTAAAATTACTTTACATTTAAATGTAGGATTCTAAAACACTTAATTTGGCACAGAATGTGTTAATAAAACACTAAAATTAAATTTTTATAAAAGTGTACTTTTTTTTAGAATTTCCATAAAAAAAAAGATAAGAGCCACTCAAAACACTTACAGATTTCGAAAAACAAAAGTTATCAAAAAATTTACCCCTAAGACACCTAATAGCGTTTAGAAAGTTGAAAAAAAATTCTTTTAATTAATACCGCAAAATAAATATTAAGAGTTGATAATGAAATCACTTTATCAAACAAAGAATTTCAACATTTTTTTAATAACTTGACTACGTATTTTAATACTATAAATATTTACCTTTGGTTTTGTAATATCGTCATATCGCTGTTATCATATCCATCTTTATTCAATGGCAAATATCCAACATTTGCTGGGCTTAATTTCTTTTTTAACGTTTTATTAAAGAATGACATTTTTAATAATTTACACTATTTTTAAATAATTTTAAATAATTAAAAAACTTCAAATGTTATTTTAAAGATTGAAAAGTTTCAAATAAAAATTGTATGAAATAGCATCATTTTTTTCAGATCACTTAAATTAATCAGTAGTGTTAAAAGTAAGTAGATTTTATAACAATAGTGTATTAACTTGTTACATATAAAATTTTTTTGAAAAATTATAATATTATGTATTCTCCGGATAACTAATTTATAAAAACAAAATAATTAGTTATTTCTGTAATTTTCGAATATTACTCAAATATATGCAAAATCTAATCCAAAATTCATTTTAAATTTGGAGAATAATGCTTTGTAAACCTAAACAACAAAAATGTTAACTGCAAAAATCAGTATTTTTTTAAATTTCCACAAATTAAAAATTGCAAAAACACTATTTTCTTTGGCTTAGAAACATTCTTGAGAACAACCTCTAATTATATAGCATCAGTGTGATGATATCAAATTATGAAACACATAATAGAAAAATTAAAATCATAATTGATCTGATTTGGATTTGAATCTTATATTCGATATAAGATTTTATATTCGGTATAAGATATATTTTTTGTTTTAAAATTTGATAGTTACCACATCTCATTTATGATTACACCGAGCACAATACTTTGAATTTTAAGAAAACTTTTAATTAGTTTATTTGCAAATTGCTTTTTTTTAATCAAAAAAATATTTCATAAAAAAAAATTAAATTGCTTAGATAACCGCAAACAATTTAATATTAAATAATTAAAAAATTTAAAAAAAAATATGAGCACGAAAATAAAAGTATAATTAAGTTTAAAATTTATTTAAGTTGTGTTCAAAACCACGTCTAATAACCAACTAAACTGAAATTCGTTTTTATTTTAATATTTCCTTTTGCATTTATACGTGTGAGTATTAAACACATTCATAAAGTATTAGCAAATCTTTGCATTTGATATACGGATTTTAATATACTGACACATCACGAGTCTATGTTAGATTGCCAGTTGCACATCGTTTATTTCTCTCTAAGCAAGCAAAGCCGAAGTTAAATGATAAGATCTACTAGAAAGCCATTAATTTGGATATGTAGAATTTAGATCTGTAAGATTTTGCAGAATAGCAGAATAGAAAATTACCTAGTTTTTACTAATATAATTGTTAACAATTTTGTTCGAATTAATTTAAAAAGCGACGTATTTTTTATTATTATTAGTTTTCCAATAAGATACTCTTTTTTTCGCTATGATTTATAAAAAAACGCCAGATAAAACATATATATGTATATAAAAGAAAATATGGATTTTTTAATAGATCTTGTCGTCCAAAGTAATACGATATATGTACCAAGCGTTTTAAATATAAAATTTCTACTGGGTAACGTTTACTCTTAAATAATTTTCTGAAATTGAAATTTGCATCCTTTCTTTATATCCAATAACAATCTCTTAAATCTATAAAATTTTATAAAAAATTAAAGAGACAGTACAGGAACTTACTTAGGGTAAGTACTAGGCTTTACCAAAAAATCTTTATTGTGCTAACTCCGAAATTAACATTTTAATAATTTTCTAAGAACAAAGAAATTTTTTTTTATGAAAACTAAAATCGAGATAACACAAAGATATAACAATAATCACGAGAAATTTTAATATCAACGCAAATATCACTCACCTTTCTGTACTCAAATTATTATCATCAGAACATCCTTGATCGATTTTAGAAGCACTATCTAAAAGAATAATCCAACAAAGAAGTATTGTAAGAACTTAATATGAAAAAATATCATATACAAACAATAAAATAAAAATTCAATATCCACCTACCCATTTCTTGCAACTCTGAACTCATATCAAAAGTATTTTCATTTTTTAAGCTATTTATGGCGATTTCGTCTATATTAGCCATCTTTTAATATTATAAAATCAACAAAATAATTTTTATTTTTGTGTTAATTTGAATATAATTTAAATTAAGCATTTATGTACCAAAATTATTAAAATATGCACCATTCGAATTATTACAATTTTTTTTGTATATAGTATTCACGCATAAATTTTGATAACCCGTCGAGTCATACCAATGTACTGAATTACAAAAAGACGGTAAGATATTCTCGCCCACAATTGCAATTCATATTGTATGTGTAAATTTTGAACTTATTGATAAGCTAATTACAATTATTTAGAATAAGAACCGAAAAAATTTATTATAAATTGCAGCAATTTCTAAAAAATTTTGTTTTTATTTTAAAAAAAAAATTTAAAAACTTTTTATTTTTCTTCTTAATACTTTCGTTTCATTTTTGTATTCTTCTTTTCGTTTTTCGCCTTTTGTTTTGATTAAACATAACATCTTTATAGGGTGACGTATGTCATATTGTCAAATCCATCATATGATTATTTGTTATTGATTGGTTTTTATAACAGGGGCTTAAATTCCCTAGCGGAATTTTTTATAAACATTAATAAATAATTTTTTTTCAAAGAAAAGCTAGTTTGATTTCATTTGCTAAAACTGAGTTTATTGGTTCGTCAGTTTAGCAAGAAACTGATGTATTTTTTATGAAATTTATATTTTTGACATTCTTTTTATTTTTATCACTCTCTCGAAAAGTTGAAAAAACTTCAAAGTTAGTGCGGTGGCTTTTCTATAACATCAAATTTAGTTTATACTTAACCACTTCAATTACATATTATTCTTGTAAAAAAAGTAATAAACGTATCAAAACATAAAAAAGCCTCAGCCCTTTCTCAAACGAAAAAGTGAACCATCAAGTAAAAAAATCGTTATAAATAGATCGTTTAAATAGATCAACTCAAAACCGACGAACCAATAGATTCACCTTAAAGACGTAAAAAGCAGTGTACAATATTCTTCGCCAAAATTGCAGAACCAAAGTTTTGAAATTACGCGACGAAAAGCTGGAGAGGCTGAAACAGTGCATATGTCGAAATACAAATAATACACCGAATCAAAATAGAGATGACGTTAAAGCTTTTGTTAATTTATTAAGTACTTATTAAATGATCACTCCCGATATAACTTTTTAGAATTAATTACGTTTCGTACATTGCGCATAGTTAAATTTTTAAGGTGAAAGTAAAGTTGTATATTATGGAGATTTTCAATAAAATTTTCCTGTCATTCCCACTGGTTCAAACTCTTAATTAAAAACTGCATTGATTCATAGAATTTATTTCCACAATTCAACATTTTATTTTATATCAGAATATATGAGCAATGCTAAATTAAATCGAATTTGTTAGAGTTCTTTAATTAGTTAGAATTGGTGAAGTTAAAGTCTACTACAGCTATGATAAAATCACTTGAAATGGTACTAATTAAAACGGTTTCTCTATTGAATTTTTAAATTAATTGAGTGTTTTGTATGCCTGACGTCAATGTAGTTTATCCAATATCTACAACATGCTCATATTTTATTAATGATTTGATCATTTGTAACTAAGTATGTTATTCTTATATACAGACTAATCGTGTATCTCGCTTTTTTTATTCATTTTCGAATCAGAACTCTCCGTGTTTGTTTCATTTTTCCAATAATAAAACTCATATTTTGAATTGGATTTTTGCACGTCTTTTCAAATTATCGAATGAACGTATCACTTCCAAAATCAAAGTGAGAAAAAAAAAAGAGATACGCAATACCGAATAATTCTTCTCACTCGAAAATTACATAATACAAATATATAATAGTTACTCACTTTCTTCTCAATTACCGAGGAAAATAGTGCGATAGACAATCAGGCCCTTCAATATATACATTCAAATGTGGAACACCTTTGCAAGCCAAATTTATTAAAAATAATTAAAAAAACATATTTATGTACGACTATATCAATAATATTTGATGACACTTGATACAATTAGATAAAATTTTCAATATTTAGTGGTGGAAATCACTTATTTCTTTTACTCTAAGAAAAGTCAACAAATTTCATTTCTAACCGTAAAATGCGCTAGGTGCTAAAGATCGTTTTGACATTTAATATTTGCAAATACATATATAAGAACCTGCTAAAAAAAAAAACGTTAAAAAATATTTTTGTACAGCCCTGTTATATATTATTCACCGATGGCGAACGTAAGAAGTTAAAAAAAGTTGTAGCCCGCCGAGTTGAAATACAAAATTTTATTTGCCTTTTTGTAATTTAAAAAAAAGTACTGCTTTTATTTAAAATATAAAAATCTTTTGTTAAAGAGCAAAAATAAATATTTAAAATATTGCCGAGTTAGAAGAACCTGCTTTAAATACCTTCAAAGTTAAATCTGAAAGTTTAGGTCAAGGAAATTTCCATTGTACAGAAAAGTAAGTTAATCCAATGCTATAAATATAGGTAAAGTTTAAATTTTTTGAAAAGAAATAAAAAAGGCAAAAATTTTTACTTCTAAACCAACTATTTACTAATAACAAAGACAAACTTTTGTTGTTATTAAATAATCAACCACCTTGTATATACATATGTATGTGCATGTACCTAATTGAAAATTGATTTTTCAAAAATTTCCAAAGCACTTCAAAGTCAAGCACAACAAATAATTTTTGTATCCCATATTTAACCTTAAGTTCAAAAATTGGTTATTGTATGTAATTATATTCAAGATAGCAAGTTAACGGTTTATTAAGAAAGAAATCCATATGAATCTAAAATGCGTTTTGTCTTTTTCAACAACCTTAAATTCAGATGCAACTGAATTGTTGAGCAAGTCAATATAAAATGGATTCCTTTGTTCAATAACTTGTAAAAGTAATTTTTGCTTACGGAATTATTGTGTACTATTCCTGACGTAATGTTTATTATTTCAATTTTCACATAGGTATAAAAAAATCTATAACAGAACATTAATATCACCGTCAGAAATTAACAAAATGAGTTCAATAGAAGAAGCAGCTGCTGCAGTGTCTTCACCAGTTACAACACCAACTGATGAACCAGAAGTAAAACTATAGTATGATAATTTTTTCTTTGATTTGATAATTTACTTTTATTATTTTAAGACGAATCCAAGAGAACTAGAAAAAATTGAGGAAGAAAAATTAAAGTCAAAATATCCAATTGGGTTACGTGGTCCTGGCGGTCACTCTGCCTTTTTACAAAAGAGATTGCAAAAAGGAGTAATTTAGACTTCAAAATAATTTCTACGCTCACATTAACAACATTTTATTTTTTCAGCAAAAATATTTTGATTCTGGTGATTATCAAATGGCTAAACAAAAGGGTGGGGGTATAAAACAAGTATTTGCTAATAAAGTGCCAACAGGAGAAGCAATACCAACACCTGAAACTGTGCCGATTCGGAAAACATCAATAATTCAACAACCTTGTAATAAATTTCAGACTCCAAGTTAATTATATCGAAAAAAAATATATGAACTATGAATTGTTTCTAAAAAACACTAATTACTATAAGAATATGAAGAAAAATTCAATTTATAATTTTTTTAGACAACAATTTGAAGGTTTAATGTCTTTTTTTTAGTAAAAGAAAAAAGGATACAAAATAAGTGTTTATTAAGTATTTCATAAAAAATGTTTAACTATTTCATAATTTTTGTTTAAATACATTAAAAATCATGATATTTAATATAACTTTTGCAAAGAATATTCATAAAAATTTTTAATTTTTTTAACATTCAATTATATTTTTTCTTAACATTATATTTTTTAAAGTGATTGATTAATTTTATCTCATTCCTCAATTTTATTTTAACATAGCTAATAATTAATTTAAGGGAAAAGTTAAGCATGAAGTCAACTCAAATTTATTATAATGATTATAAAATTAGAAATTTAATGTGAGAAAAAATCGTAAAGTTAAATTTACCAAGAAATTAACCTCATAGAGCAATTAACAATGCATTTCTGAATAAGAGATAAATTTAAATTTACGATCATGAAGTTATTTTGCTACTTCCTGTTTTTTTTTTTTTTGTTTGTGGATAAGTAAATTCAATTTGTTACATAAACAACTAGAAATTAAATAAATATTTTCTAAAATAGAAGAAATAATATTATGTACATATTTTCAATATAAAATGTTAAAAACCAAATAATCTTAACTACATATTAAATAGGAAGTTTATAAGTAAGAAAATTCAGAAAATAAGATGCAAACCGATAAAGTAGAATCAAACGTGATTTATTCGAATATGTACTTATAATTTTAAGTTCTCATTTACTCACATACCTATATATTATATATGTTGATAAACTGGCGAACAAGCGTGTGAATAATACATTTGCGAATGAATTTAAAATGTAAATATTTATTATTATGCTATACTAGCAGCATGTAGGTAGGTATGTGTATAAAAATTTAAGAGAATTATTTGACCTTGGGTAAAATTTTCGTACATTTCGGTTTATTTTTAAATATATTTGGATCAAGAGTTTGATAGGGTTGCTCTGATATTGGTTGTATAGCACGACCTCTTCTTGGTTCATTTTCTTCAATTAAGTGTGGGGCTAACAATAAATATAATTGCTGAAAATTGAAGTTTAACAATTCTAAAAAAATTTAATAGGTGATGCAATTATTTTTTTTACCTCAGTCCATGATGGTAATCCAACACTAGAAAAGCAAAGTTCCCAATAAGGTAAGCCCAAATGCGCAATAGCCATTCGAATATATTCACTAAAAGTTTCTGCAAGAAATTGCCATTTATATGAGTTTAGCTCTAAAAGAAAAATTTTGGCACAACCTAACCCGGTAGATTCATATACCAGACATATCTGAGTGTTCGAAAGAAAATCATTTGAATTACACATATGCATATTTATTTATAATATAAATTTAAATTACCTTGGCCAAATCTGTTACCATATTAAGTTCAAAAATTTTAGTTTTTGGTGTCACAATAAGTCCTGGTGTTGTATTAATATTTTGTAGATTTTTGTTTGTTTCTGAGTTAGTACTATTCAATACATCCACATTCTCTCTAAGCAAAGTTATTTGTAGTAAATGAGGGCAATTAATTGATCCAACTCGTCGAATATCATTTGCTATATTGTAAATTGTAATAATTATATTGCCTTTTTTAATTCAGAATAATACGAGTACATTAATTCAGAATAATAAAATAAAAATACATAATTGAATACATGTTCGTCAATCTCATCGCAAATGAAATGATCGCTCTCTAAAAGTGAGAGGTAAAGAAGTTAAGAAGTAGTGACTGCGCGTTCATATGTTTTGTGAGTAGAATTCAAATGAAAGACTGGCCACATGGGAAGCAATAACAATTTCATAAAAATGTGACAAACAACAAAAGAAGAAGTAGCGTCCGTTGCTTAATTTTTGTTACGTGAGATGAACTACACGAATTAGCATACAAATATACATTATGTGAAATTTTCACTTACGTGCATATTGATAACTCCAATGTAAATGAAATCCATCGCAAGATAAATAAAATTTTTTCATATCTTCTGGTAAATAAACATTATGCCGTTGCTCCCAGTTTGATAGCATTACTTTTTCACAAGGTGGTCTTTTCTCCATAACAACATTTGTTATCCTTGGAACGTTTGCTGAAATGTTCAAACAAAAAATTTATATTATACACAATCATATTATTTTTATTTATAAATATCTTTCCAAGGAGTACAGAGGGTTTTCATTAATCCAAGAGTTAAGTTTTCAAAAAATGCGTCTTCTGGGCTCAATTTTGAGCCATTTTCTTTAGTACCAGCAGCTAAAATTTTTGACATATTTTTTAAATTTTTTTTATACTAAAAAAATCATATTGATTAAATAAATACATACATACACATTTAGAGTTATTGTCTATGGTAACAATTAAGAAAATTATCTCATAAGAAATTGAATATATTTTTGGCGTTTTTACAAAAAAAAACTAAAAAAAAGTGCTTCTTAATTTTACTGAGTCCATCCATTCGTCTATCCGTTGACCAGGCTTACAAAACTTCTACGCCCTTAAAGATAAACAGATGAAATTTCATACGTATGTATATAGATCTAAACTAGGAACTTATTTTCGTAGAAAAAATATTTACCTATCTTCCTTTCTCTAAAAGTTATAGTTCCGTTATATTTCCAAAACTGTAAGCTTTTGTAAATTTCTATAAATACAGAAAGGTAACCGGTAAATGCAATGCCATGGAAAAATATAATTATTTTTCTTAACTTATGCATTTAACCCTTATATTCGAGCAATATGTTAACGCCTCTTTCAATTTTTTTTCGTTTTATTTCAAAGAATGTATATATTGCACATCCCAAACGTATGCAATTTTTGAAATATACTCGTATATGAATGAAAGTAATTGTAATAATGTAGTACATAGCTTGATTTCATGCCTTGCTGAAGGCAAATCTGCCACATTTTCTTATTTGATTTTATTTGTTTTTGATTTAACTACTAAGTTGCAGAAACCTTTATTATTTTAAAAAAGTCTGATATTTTCTCATAATTATATATATGTATGTTTGGATTTAAATATATATTGAATATACAAAGCCCTTTTCACAACGCAATTTATTTTGAACTGCAAACTAATTTTATAGCATCGTGTAGTAAAAATTAAGTGCAATGCATATGAAATTCCCTGAGACAGATATTACTAATATTAATAATATTAATATTACAGATATTAATAATATTAATATGCAATTATCTTTCATATAAATTATAATTTCCAAGTTTTATATTAACACTTCAAGAACAGTCTTTGCCATGTAATACAAATATGATTGGAATTAACATAATAATAATTTAAATCTTTAGTACATCTTATTGGTGTTAATTTGTTTGGGATTAATTTTGAAAAAGCGGAGCTTGTTTTTCTGATTGTGATCTGCTAAATAACATTTATTTTTAGTCTACATATAGGACGAAAATGAGTAAAATTAAGTGGTTACTGTCAATAAATAATTTAATATTTCAAATTACATTTTGCCACAATGCCCAAAAGCCATTATAAAGAGTTTTTTTTTTGTAATATTAGTTACCAGGGGCACTTAACATTTTCTCAATAATGAAATTTTAAAATCAATTTTTACTTTAAATATTTTAATTGTTTATAATAATTGTTTTATTTTTTCAAGTACACAGAAATATATCATTGAACTTTTAAAGTATATTCTTAGTTTTTAACAGGTACATAGCTTAATAGATAAAATAGGTTTCGATAGAAAACAAAATATGCTACAAATATAATAATGACTTATGGCTACTATACTAAAGCTTCTATGTATGTATGACTAAATTTAAAAAAGTACATTCAAAATTTTCAGTTTTTTTAACTTTAGTCTTTTTATGTTTGTTATTTTTTTTTTAAACTTAATGCTAAGCAACTTCCCAAACAGTCGACTCTACAGATCTTCTAGGTTTAGAAACTTCAACGTGGGCTTCGAGACCGTCACCTAAACGACTTAAGCGGCGTGCCCAACTGCTACCACGTGATCTGAAACCAGCGTCAGTGGAAGCTTTTAAAATCGAAAGTAGATCATCATCTTGTCTAGCCTTTTTTAAACCATGTTGTAGCTTAGCTTCTTTGGCTAATAAGGTTTCCCGTTGTATTTGTGTTTTAACTTCAGCAGGTATATCGGGTATTACAAATTGCATAAAACCAGTAACAATAAATACTATATGCTATTTAAAAGAAAAAATAAAAACGTATTTTGATGTGCAACATATTTGTAAATTATAAATAAATTTTACTTCAAATACAACCACGAAAGCAAGTCTTGCTGCAAAAACATGCCAATACACAGATGTTAGTTCGTATGGATCAGCATGAGGGTTATTTGGATTTGTTTGGTTTGCCCTAATATTGATAAAATTGTTATTCATTCTTTAGTTACTATTATATTCGAAAACATGTACCTGTATCCGCGGTAACGACAAATGTCAGGATCTTTTTCACCTTTGTTTCCCCATTCTTCTTTGTAATCAGTTGTATTGAAATAAGACATACTGTGTGAAATATACCCACGTAGTGTTTTATCATCCGAATACATTAATTTATACACCATTCGTGGAATAAAATCACTAGTATAGGCTATTACAAATCCATTTGAAACCACGGCAGTATACGTTATAATTCGAAGAATTCCGTACCATGCTCCTATGTCTGTTACACGTTCTGCTAAAGGTCGACGAGCTTGTGTTACCATTTTAAATGCATCTAAACGAATTTCTGCAATATTATTAAGTAGAGCAAACAAAGGGGCAAGTGGGAACGCTGCCACAAAAAGCGTTACAAAACCGTATTGTAAAACTAAAAAAATAATTCTGTGTTTGAAAACGCTAATGATAAAATATGTTTATACGTAGATGCATAAGTATGTGTGTGTGTATTTACATAACATATATATAAAATCCAAAATAATCTTACTCATTTCTAAATATTCATCAAATAAGGCCTGTAATTAATGTAATAAAATTAGGTTAATGTAACAAAACATAAAACTTTTTACTCACTAATCTCCCCGGGTCTTGCATATGATAATCTTGTTCCCAAGCCATATGCAAATGAGTAACATCCTTCGTTGCAGCTTTGTGTTGACGTTGACGCCACCAATTCCAAAATTTTGGGAATAAGTATTCCATAAAATTATTCCAACACTGTTTTCCAACCATTATGATTGCCAGTTGGATACATAATTCCGATAAACAACCAGCTGGATCACAAATATCATTTTTAAGTCGAAAAAACTCACTTTGTCTAGCTATATCATCACCAGGATAGTCGAAAAATCTTCCTTTAAAAAATGCTATATAAATTAAAGAGCTGTAGAAATTCATAAATTCAAAGAAAAATATTTTAAATGTATAGGAGTCTTCATATTCTGTATGAGTTCTAGGATTTTCCAAATTTGTCAGATGTATAGCTAATCGGTGGTAAAACTATCAAACGGATACAAAATCAAATGTTAAAATTTCATAAACATGTATTTACTTAGTTTTAACTTGACTTACTTTGGTTAAAATCATAATAACTACCAAATTGATTAATGCAGCAGAAATGGATGTAAATAATTTGGCATGACTTTTGACAAAGAAATCTGAACCACTATGAATCAAAGCTAATATAGATATACGATAAATGATTGTACCCAAGACTGCTGATAAAACTATTGCAATCTAAAAATTGTGTTTTTAAATAAATCCTATTGTAACCTTAAACATATTTAAAATTATTCTATTAATTTTACCATAAATAAAACCGCAGTAGATGTTACAACAAATCTAAATGCTCGAGTTGTAGTTGACATATAAGGTTCCTTTTCCCGTGTTACAGGGTTCGTACGGAATGTTGTGGCATTTGTTTCAAATTCCGGGCGATAATCTTCATCTTGATCAATATCACCTAAATCCCATTCCCATACGACAACTGATTGTTTACGTTTCCAAAGTTCTAAAAATGTTGTAGCTGAAAAGTAAATAAACATTTTAATTTAGAAAGCACTACAATAAACCTTAATGTTTTTACCCCAAAAAGACATAAAAATTGCAAAAAATACTGTTGCAGGATTGTCGAATAAATATGTAAGTGTCGCAAAAAGACACGAATCATGTAAATTTTGATAGCTGCATGCTTTATCACATAGAGGACATAAAGTTATATTACCGGCTCCTGTTTTATCACACATTTCTTTGCTTGGTATATTATCTTCAGAATTCATTGACGCTAATCCATATAAAAAACACAAAGTTCCAATAATTGATGGATAAATTAACATTTCTGTATAAAAACCGAGCCAACAAAAATACAAAGCAATCTTGTCCCCAAAATATTTTCGAATTAAACATAATGGTTGTTTTTTATACCATTGTGATGGTCGAGCCCAATTTAAATATAAAAGTCGTCGATCAGATTTTGCACCAGTTTTAGAATGGTTTTTATCATAGCGTCCCTCATGCAGAGGGAAGCAAGCTAAATAAGTACCGTCATTTAAAAGTCGACGAATACCCATTTTCTCTGTTTCGTCAAACTTCATTCGTAATAAAATTTGGAAAACCATTAAGCTTCTTTGCGCATTTGTGTAAGACGTAGCTCGATCTTTTACTATAAATCTAAATTATAAAAAACAAAAAAAAAAATAAAACATTTTTTTTTACTTTTGCGACGTTAGAATATTACTGTTCTTCTGGATTGCCCCCGGCTGTTGCCTTTTTAAATGTTGCTTCTTCTTCGGGGCCTGATTGAGTTATAAGGTTTTTAAATGCATTTACCAACGGAGATAATAATTTAGTCCAAACTTGCAATTTTCTAACCACAATATTTTCGTCCTCCTATTACATAATTAGTTTAATTAAAAAAACTTTAAAATTTTTGTATTATGTATATTGTTTTTGTTTACCCATGCTTTAACACTAATTGTAATAAATCTTTTGATTGGTAATTTTAAATTCAAAACTTCGGCATAGCGTTGTTCTAACCGCCATGGTAAATGTATTTTTAAGAAAAAAGTCTTTTCATCAAAAGATTGTGATTTATCCTCTAATTCTAATTCTAATCCTTCTTTTAACATATTTTCTTGAAAAATTTTGCGATTCTCACGACGTTTGGCTTCCTGTTCAGTCATTACACCTTCATTTTCCTCCTCCCACGCCAATATCATGTCGATTTTTTTGCGTCCATCTCTAAAATATAAGGATTCCGGATCCAAACCCTGTAGATGAAACAAATAATTATTATGTGTATCATATGTTACGTGGTTATTTTTACACTTGTACCTCCTTATCTTGTTTACTTATTCGTCTAGCAACTTCTTCGATTGTCATTTTACTCTTTTTGCTATTAAAACTTCCACTAATGCTTAAATTATCTTCAGATTTCTCGACTGAAAATTTTCTTCCTATACTAAGATTTTCATCGCTAAATTTCATTTCTTCTTGAATCAAACTCGAACTCATCGAGTCTAATTTTTCATACGATGAAGTATCTCTTAAAAGTTCTAAGTTACTGATTGCAGTTCCAGGTAATTCACAACCAACTTTTGGGCCAAAAACTTTCGTCATTGTTTGACCATTGAATGAACTTCTGTAAAAAATATTTCACTTAATAATTTCATTTTGTCATTCATTTTTAAAATATTCTATTTGCAATTTTTATTTACCGTCTGCTAGAATCATTTTCATTTGATGAAGATAATAATGCAACATTTTGCAATGAATTATTTGTGAATAATCTTTCGGTCTGAACATCGTTTATTGTTGGACTCTCCATTGGACTGTCTTCCTCATTTAAGGTGGCTGTTATTCTAAGCTTATTATCTGGAAAGAACTGGACACTTTTTAAATTATCATTACTTTGGCTTAATTGTTGCAAGCCATCAGAATTATACTGAAATTTACAACGAATTAAAAATATTATTTTTGAAAAAGGATTATAAAAGTTAAAATTAACACACATCTGAATATATTTTCCCTGTAACAATTCCTGAATCCTGACTAAATCGTCTGGCTCTGTTATATTTTTTATTCATATTACTATTACTATTATCGCTAAAAATTGTTATAATCGGTGTTTGCGAATCTTGTTTTTGGTTATTTATATTACTATCGCTATTTGAATCAGTTCCAATTATTGAAATTGGTAAAGTTTCTGCATGAACTTTAGCTGGGCTTGAAAAAAATCTTTTAGCAGTTCTTGATATATTAATTGTATCATTATCTTCACGTAATGTTGGTACCGATAAATATGTTACGACAGAATTTCGTCTTGAACGTTTTCTATCAGTTGTTTCATCATAATTTTCATAATCGTTTCCATTTCTATTTTTATAAATTGAATCATTGGGAGTAGAACGACTGGAACTATTTTGATGACTCCCAGAACTGTTAAAATATAAATCACGTTCTATGCTATTTTCATCGTAACCAGTTTCAAATGAGTCTTTCCATTGAAGTTTATTAAAGCATTTTTCGGGACTTTCATCAACAGGAGTTGTATTTAATTCATTAGCAATTTCATCTGCTTCATTTGACAAATTTTCGTCAGAGGATTTTTCCAAAATTTTAAAAAAATTTCTTTTTTCATCAGAATCACTATTGCTCATTATTTGTTTAGAAGAGTGTTTTTAAGAAATTAAAATTTCTGATTTTTAGACTAATTATAAATTATTTTCACGAGAAATTTTATTCACGAGAATTAAATTCACGAGAAAGTTTATTTTCACTTTTGAATTTTTTTCCAGTTTTCTATGCCAAAAATTCACTATGTATTTAATTTTCTAAAAATAAAACAAAATTATTTAAAATTAATTTAATTTCTATTATTCTTAATAATAATAAATAAATTATTAAATTACATTATTTAAATAAATAACTATTTCAAATTTGATGTTTAATAAAATGCAATAATTTAACAACAATACAAATCTGTATGTTTCGTAATGCAAAAGGTAAGTCACATAACTTGTTGGTCAATTCAAAGTAATCCACTTAGAGCCTTGATAATGAATACTTATTTATACATAGAGTTGCTCTTATTAGGTTCTGTCAAGCTCTTAAGTTCTTATTAGGTTCTGTCAAGCTCTTGTTATATTTGTAATATAGAAATTGATATTATATAAAAAAAATTAATATTTACTTGGTAGAGCGTTAAAAAACTGTAGAATATTCAAGATCTCAGATGTGTTTGTAGATAAATTTTGTATTTTTACTGAATTTTCTTTAACTTAAACTAATATTAGAAAATTGCGGAGGCTACAACATAACATTCTAACGACTTAATTCTTATTATTAAATATAAGGAACAACAAGAAAAATTTTGGTGGGTGTAAATGATTTACAGACACATACAATATTTACAAATGTATATTTTCATGTTTATTCGTTTTTTACACTTCAAATATTTGATTTTTTATATATAAAACCTAGTGGAATTTTAAAAAAGTTTTTAAGGCAAAAAAGCAATCATGTTTCCTGGAAAATTCGAAAACAAAAGCAAGTAATATGAATCTGAACCTTGAATAGATCAATGTGTTTAAATTCTCTAATAATGTACAATAAAAAAACTTTGTTTTAAAACATTTCACTCACCTACGTTACTTCTTTGTTTAATCATTCACTTATTTGATTTAAAAAAAAAACATTGCAATGGCGAACAGTTATTCTCTTATTACGAATGTATAATATTAAAATATTAAATTACAATTTATAGTTAAGTGCGATAATATTAAACTAGCAGCACATTGAAGATACTACTGCCGTTTTAATAAATTTAAAGAACCTAACTGCAATAATAAATGTTTTTATTATGTGCTTTAATCGTTAGTTCATTTTAACTTAAAAGATATACTCGTATGTGTCTGTATTAACATGTACATGTTTAAATGAATATATCTGAAATATCCTTTTAATATGAATTTACGTTATTATAACTAAAAATAAATGACACGTGAAAATGTTCATTGAAATTCGAAAAGTTTCAATTTTTATTCTTTTTCAATTTTAATAACTCGTGGTTTTAATTAAATCTTTTGAAAGTTCTATTTTAAGCGTTTATGTACATACCTACATATATTATATGTATACATGTTTTTTGATATAAAATTAAATGAAAAATTGAGATTTTTGAATCGATAATTTATATTTTACAAATACATACATACATACGTTTTCAATTTATTCATGTACATAAAATTTATATGTATAATATATTATTTGATTTATTTGTATATGTATATACATAAATGTATAACAGTTGAAAAACTTAAGCGATCTTCTTACAAATTATAAAGTATATTTTAAAATTGCTTTAAACGATATACGTAACTATTTATGAAAATGAAATTAGGGAAATTTTTTAATTGAAATAATTCCAGATTTCCAGAAAGATTTCACTATTACGTTTGAAACTAAAGTCAAAAAGTTATAAAAATTTTTTGAAATTTTAATTTGTGAGAGCTTAGAATTAAAAAATTAAAGTTTTGAATAAAAAATTTTATTTAATGAACGAAATGTCTTTGTAACTGCATTCTGGCTTTCAATTTAGAGAATTTGATTTCAATATATCAGGAACCCAACTTATGTAATTTTGACTATTTGTTATATAAAACCTGAATTGTATTTTTTGTTTTCAAAAGCATTTTCAATGTATTTAGCTGCATTTTAAGTTCCAGACCCTTTGAAAGAAACAAAAAATAACTAAAAAACAAAAAATGTTTGAAAAAATAGATCATTTTCACAAATTCTTTAACAAGATTTAAAATTAAAGCTTTTTCACTATATTATTGAAAAATAAATTTTTTGATTTGAAAGTTTCCAATTAAGTAATTAAAAATTAATTATTAGATTTTTTTCTTTTATACTGTTTTTTTTTTAGTTTTTTTATTTTAATTTAAAATTTCTTTCTTTTTATAAACACTTATTGTACACCTTATTAAAAATGTCTTTGAATCATTTGTGAATGCTTTTAAATCTAAAGAGTAAAATTTTAAATAAAATGTTGAAAAACAAATCGAACCCTTTCAATATCCTTGCAATAAAAAAATATTTTTCATGGTCGCAAGTATTTTATCAATACATACGCAATCGGACATAAATTACTACTTAATATATAACTATATTATTCCTTTATAGCACATTTGCAACAAAATTAAAAAAAAAATTTCACTCCGTCCATGTGTCCGGTTAAAAAATTTAAAATCAAAATTTACTTCTTTAAAAATCTCGTTATTCGACAATTAATTTTTTATAGAAAGCGCGAACAATTTTTAAGTTCTGTAAGATCAGAAAAATAACAACTGGCTTACTCTATTGTAAAATCGCAAAATTTTCGTTAAAAATTGGCATTTTTTTTGTTTTAGATAGTAAATTGTAGAAGTATATTGTTTTAACAGTTTTTATATTAGCAAATGGTTGATGTTACGGGAACAAATTTTTTTCAACCTCCTTTTCAAAAGAATCAGTATTTTAATTTTCGGTTTCGTATTTCTCCGAAACTGTAGGCCCTTGCATGTAAAAATAAAAAGCTAACGGTTAATTTCTTGTCATGAAAAAGTATAACTTTAATGTTAAGTCATTTTGTGAGCCGTTAACACTATACAATACTGCCATTCTATTAAAGTTTTTCTTAATTTTTATTATGTCCGGAAAGTATGAAATATTCATTTATTATCATAAAAAAATAATTTAAGTATAGCAAATTAGTTTTTTGAAAATCATATTTTCATCAATTGGAAGGAAATGGGTTGTTTCACAAACCATTGGTTTGATCCGAATTTATTATTTTTAGAACAACATACATACATACATATGTAAGAATATTTGACATATGTCTATAGAGAAAATATAGACATCAGATTAATTAAAGGGTTTTATATGTTTTAAATAAATAATTAACTTTTTAATAATATTCTACGCTTCAAAAATATTATATGAGACAACTAAATTTTATGTTCACATATCTACTTATGTATATTTATATTTATTTGTTTATATATCTATATAACAAATTTTAACGTTATTGTCAATGTTTAGTAGTGTTCCTTATTATGACAACTAATCAATAAAATAAATAAAAATTATTTTATTAGCATATATGCAAATTATATTTTATTAAATTTTTTGAAATTTTTGTAATATTTGGCAACATTATATATATATATAAATAAATATAATATATGTAAATAATTTAATTTTTGAATGAAAACCTCTTTTTGTGCCAGTTACATTTTATAAAAACAACACAATAAAAAAAAACATGCCAATATGATGAAAACCCGAAGAATTCTCACAATTAAAATAAAGAGATTCAAGAGGTGTTATGCAAAAAATCCTTTTAGGAAGGATCTCTTGAATTTTTGCATAACACAAACTAGCTAATTTTATTATAAATAAGAAATTGTTAAACAGAAAAAAAAATTAATGTTAAAAAAATTCGCATGGGTACAAATGTTAGAGGTCCTCACTACAGACAATAAAAGTGATAGATAAAAGGTTCTTATTCCACGCTGCATTAAAATTAAGGAGAATTTAATATTGTTTTTCAAGTTTTCAAAATTAATTTCGTAAGGTGATAAAAAGTTCTATTAATTTAATTCTATTTAAAAGCTTTTAATTCTGGAAGTATTTAATTAATTCAATTAGATTTTATTATTAAAAATTTGTGCCAAAAAGGAATAGAACTCTTCACACGTACATAACGGAAATATTCCAAAAAAAAAACTATAGAGATTTAAAATTTCAAAAAATTAGATTTTTAATACATTATTGTGTTTTAACAATTTTCAAAACAAAAAATATTCATAACGTGCTTTTTTACTATTTTTAATATTTTTAAATTACCCATATATGCCTTGCACACATTATATGAACATGTACATAAATACCTATGGAATTTTTTTCTGGAATCTGAGCTTTGAAACCAAATATGCAGAGTGATGGTGCTCCAAAAATAGCCTGCACCTTGCGTACATAATAGAATAAGAATATCAAAATTATCGAAATCAAAAACTAAGTTTTTTACAAACCATGCACATACATTAGGGACATATTACGTGAATGTACTTATGTACACAGACAAAATAAAATTAAATTATATACCGAATTTTTTTCGGAAAAATATAAACGCAGACTAGAATATGCACGACATCGAATAAGGATATTTAGAATTAGACGTCATCGATATTTTATTATAGCGTAGGTGGTATTGATTTCGTTCATAAATTTCTCTTAGTTTTAAAAAGTAGAGCACAGTTTTTTTTCTTTTAAATTTTTAAATAGATAAAAATATATACCCACATATATTTTATATACATACGTATTATTTATACATACATACAAAAATATAATGGGGTTTACGTGTTTTTTATTCAATAGACGAGTTTGGGGCCTAAAATAGTATGGGCTTCTAAGTTTTATAATTATTATATTTCTAAACACATAATATTTACGAGTTATATAACATAGCATTATATCACGTACGTACACACATATATAATATATCGATACATTATAACAAATAAAAATAGATTTTTAATATTTTCTATTTCGACATTTTTTACTCAAATAATATATGTAATGTACTGATATATGTATATACGTATATTTC